ATCAACCTTACCACTCTGTGCCTTGTTTACCCCTATCATCAACCTTACCATTCTGTGCCTTGTTTACCCCTATCATCAACCTTACCACTCTGTGCCTTGTTTACCCCTATCATCAACCTTACCACTCTGTGCCTTGTTTACCCCTATCATCAACCTTACCACTCTGTGCCTTGTTTACCCCTATCATCAACCTTACCACTCTGTGCCTTGTTTACCCCTATCATCAACCTTACCACTCTGTGCCTTGTTTACCCCTATCATCAACCTTACCACTCTGTGCCTTGTTTAGTTTACCCCTATCATCAACCTTACCACTCTGTGCCTTGTTTACCCCTATCATCAACCTTACCACTCTGTGCCTTGTTTACCCCTATCATCAACCTTACGTATAAGGTTCCAGGGAGCACGGTGCAAGACCTGGTTGCTATGGGAACTTGTCGTGGTTAAGAGGGAAGGGGAACTTGAATTGGATTGGGAATTGGATTGCCCCACTAATATATGTAATTAACTGCTACCCTTCAAAGAAAGGAACATAATTTCAACAGGGTTTTTACTATAGAGTCACTTCTGAGCACTGTGACAGGAATCTGGATACAGTACATAATCAGATAATGTTTTTCTTCTATAGATGATAGATTAATAATGACATATTACATAATAATGAAATATGACATAATAATGACATATGACATAATAATGACATATGACATAATAATGACATATGACATAATAATGACATATGGCATAATAATGACATATGACATAATAATGACATATGGCATAATAATGACATAATAATGGCATATGACATAATAATGACACATTACATAATAATGACATATGGCATAATAATGACATAATAATGACATATGACATAATAATGACATATGGTATAATAATGACATATGACATAATAATGACATAATAATGACATAAGACATAATAATGACATATGACATAATAATGGTTTTGCTTCTGCTGTATGTTTTTGATTACTTCTAATGAAACTGTTATTACTGTTTGAATGGAACAAAGGGGGAGTTTGTTTTGCTATAAAACATCCATCCATACACACACACACACAAACATTTCATTCTGTTTAAGTCTGGCAGCTAGGATCAACAGGAATATCCAGCAGCACTGTACCTCTGTGGGTTGTTACTGTGCTCCTCTAGCAGCACTGTGCCTCTGTGGGTTGTTACTGTGCTCCTCCAGCATCACTGTGCCTCTGTGGGTTGTTACTGTGCTCCTCTAGCAGCACTGTGCCTCTGTGGGTTGTTACTGTGCTCCTCCAGCATCACTGTGCCTCTGTGGGTTGTTACTGTGCTCCTCTAGCAGCACTGTGCCTCTGTGGGTTGTTACTGTGGTCCTCCAGCAGCACTGTGCCTCTGTGGGTTGTTACTCTGGTCCTCCAGCAGCACTGTGCCTCTGTGGGTTGTTTCTGTGGTCCTACAGACAGCATCACTGTGCCTCTGTGGGTTGTTTCTGTGGTCCTACAGACAGCATCACTGTGCCTCTGTGGGTTGTTACTGTGGTCCTCCAGCAGCACTGTGCCTCTGTGGGTTGTTTCTGTGGTCCTCCAGCAGCACTGTGCCTCTGTGGGTTGTTACTGTGGTCATCCAGCAGCACTGTGCCTCTGTGGGTTGTTACTGTGGTCCTCCAGCAGCACTGTGCCTCTGTGGGTTGTTTTCTGTTGTCCTACAGCAGCACTGTGCCTCTGTGGGTTGTTTATGTGGTCTTCCAGCAGCACTGTGCCTCTGTGGGTTGTTACTGTGCTGTTCTAGCAGCAATGTGCCTCTGTGGGTTGTTTCTGTGGTCCTCCAGCAGCACTGTGCCTCTGTGGGTTGTTACTGTGCTCTTCTAGCAGAAATGTGCCTCTGTGGGTTGTTTCTGTGGTCTTCTAGAAGCACTGTGCCTCTGTGGGTTGTTACTGTGCTCTTCTAGCAGCAATGTGCCTCTGTGGGTTGTTACTGTGCTCCTCTAGAAGCACTGTGCCTCTGTGGGTTGTTACTGTGCTCCTCTAGCAGCACGGTGCCTCTGTGGGTTGTTTCTGTGGTCCTCTAGCAGCACTGTGCCTCTGTGGGTTGTTACTGTGCTCCTCTAGAAGCACTGTGCCTCTGTGGGTTGTTACTGTGCTCCTCTAGAAGCACTGTGCCTCTGTGGGTTGTTAATGTGCTCCTCTAGCAGCACTGTGCCTCTGTGGGTTGTTTCTGTGCTCCTCTAGCAGCACTGTGCCTCTGTGGGTTGTTTCTGTGCTCCTCCAGCAGCACTGTGCCTCTGTGGGTTGTTACTGTGCTCCTCTAGCAGCACTGTGCCTCTGTGGGTTGTTCCTGTGCTCCTCTAGCAGCACTGTGCCTCTGTGGGTTGTTTCTGTGGTCCTCCATGTTATTACACTCTGTACCAGAGAGTCATTTATTCAACTGGTCTATGCCCACTACTGTTTGTGTAATGAAATAAGGGTGAAAATCCAATAAATGCGTTGGGAACTCTATGGCCATTTAGAGCGGGCACAGGAACAGGCACATGTACAAAATGATTGTCAGGGCCGGTGGCTACCCCTTTGGAGCCAGATCACCTTTAGTGTAACTCACTGAGCACAGTCAGAGTGCTGTTAGGTTGTTTAATGGCGTGTGTGCGTCATAGTGGGTCCCAAATGGCACCCTATTCCTTTATAGATTCATAGGGCTCTGGTAGTGCACTATATAGGGAATAAGGTTCCATTTGGGACAGACCCATACAGTGGTTTTACATTGAGGTTTAAGAGAATTCGTGGCACTCCATTGTGAGACCTGAATGGACCTTGTCCAATTACCTTTGTTGAAATCATAGAAACCAATGTCCCTCCCAACCATGTTGTATCAAGATAGGAGCTCATTTAACATTTGCACACATTGCTGACATTTTACGCTGCATGTTGTTGAACGAGACTGCATGAAAGAATCCATAGTAGAGATAGATAAATCCTCAATGGGATGATCAATGAATGATCTCTAAATCATCCATATTTAATCCATATTTAATTTGCATCACATGTCGTCATTGTATCTTATCAATTGAACAATCCTCCTCTTATGATTGGGCCAACAACACAAATAATAACGTTATAGCTAAGCGATTAGCTACTTTCAGTGGTGGGCTATATGTGGCTATGTTGTTCTGTAAAATGTACTGGAATGTTGTAGATTACAATCGGATGCACACTCCATCTAGTTTGTATCAAATCATTAGTTCATACTCTAAGTGGTGAAATGAACATTTGTGCCAAACATGAGTAAAACAAATGAGTAATGCGGAATTATTTTTCTCCAATTTAAATTCAATTAAATACTGTAGCTGTCCCGCAATGAAATCTAATGAGATTCACACATGGAGGATTCTCTCATATGAGATGCTGCCCTCTAGTGTTACAGAGCAGTCAATGCATGCCCTCTCGTGGTTGGTGGTTAGTGGTTGACGTGTCTATGAAACAGCCAATCGAGAAGCAGAGCACCGTAACGTGCTCTATTGTATATTTCCACATTTCCTGTTTTCCTTAGCTAGCCGAGCTGTCAATGAAACGCTGACTGTTCTGGTAATTTCCTTGAATTAAATGTTACATTTGTGAAGGTTTTATCATAATTTACAAAACATCTTTTGAAATGGGCTCTCATAAACTCAATGATGATTAGCGAGCTGATGCTGCATTGTTAGTTAGCTAACCCAACGTAGCAGGCGAAAAAGAAACTAGCTAGCTGTTGTTGTATCGCTAGTTAGCAAACTAAGCTAGCAAACAAACGGCCGAGTTTTTGTAAATCAAATAGCTTCGCTGATATGTAGCTATGTTTTTTCAACTATTCACAGTGAAGGCAGTGATGTAATAGACATGAAGTCCCTTTATTGATACAAGCCCTTGTGTTCCCTTCTGCCTTGGATATGTGCTCGCTAGGTGTCTCCTAAGAGATGAATATTCGCCACAGAAACGTTAGCTGTCCATTCTGTTTACATTGCTAAAAGTCTACAGTATTCTGGAGCAACGTTTTGCTCTCGATGACGTCTTTCAACCACTTCTCCCTGAACCTCGTTTTCCCTGGCCTGTGTGTCAGCCTGTTCGACTCCACTAGAAAGAACACCTCCACGGGCAAAGTCTGAGGTTTGATCTTGGAGATCACAATGACAAAGTAGACACAGGCCGTCGCCTTGGGGATCGGGGTGCGTCGGGAGGGGATGCTCCATTGTGTCCGGTAGTGGTACTGTTTGTGAAACTCATGATCCGTCTCCTGGAGGAATTCTAGGCTAAAAAGCCAGCTGGGATGCACCTCCCATGTGTGGATGTACTCCTCGACTTGCTGTTTCCCCAGTTCAATGGTAAAGTCCTTGCAAGTGATCCATTCGATGTTTCTGAACTCGTAGTCGGTGTAGTGTTGCACTTCTCGCTGGTGGTGGCCGAGAACACCGCGCGCGTTCTCCAGTACATTTTTCACGATTTCAGATGCTCTCAAGCTTAGGTTTGATGAAGGCCTCTCTTCCATCATGTTTCTCTTCGTATATCAAAACGTACTTTGAGAAGGTATTTGGAAACCCGTAGATATCATTCGTTTTCTACACCAGACAGGTGCTCTTCTGCAGCATAATGTTGTTGTTTTGAAGGGTTTCCATGGCTACCATGGAACAGAAGGAACATCCGGGTATTTGATAGGGTTTGAATGGCCAACCAGTGCTCTCTATCTTTGTTAATTGTAATGAGGGGCTCTTTCTCTCATCCATTGTGGTTTTACTTTGCACAAAGTCCTCTGACATCCATTTGTTTTCTTTCTCAGATATTCTAGGAGGGTGCTTAATTCCTAGATGACCTATGCTGGACCAGAGCCAAGAGGCACCATAATGGTTCTCTATCTTTCTTCCATTTTCCAGAGGTTGTCCTGACTGATCCATTCTCCAGAGGTTGTCCTGACTGCTCCATTCTCCAGAGGTTATCCTGACTGATCCATTCTCCAGAGGTTGTCCTGACTGATCCATTCTCCAGAGGTTGTCCTGACTGATCCATTCTCCAGAGGTTGTCCTGACTGATCCATTCTCCAGAGGTTGTCCTAACTGAACACAGGAGATGACCCAACAAGGCCTATCCCCGTATCAGCACTGGCACAAGCAAAGGCTGTAGTCCAGTCATACCATTTTAACTCTCTCCTGTCTCTGGTGTGAGTCGACGCATGTCGCGGATCAGGAGCACGCTCAACACTGTTTCCAAAGCGGTAAGCGGCACCGACCTCCTCTCCAAGATATCCCGCCTTAAGCCCAGCGCCGCAGTCGCCCATGCAGAGAAGGTACTGGCCAAAGCGGAGCCTCCGACTCCATCTCCAACCCCGGCAGCGAGTGATGCTTCAGCTGCAACAGCCATGAAGCCACCAGAGCGGGATCAGACAGGAGGACTGGAGCAGAACAATGGAGAGGAGGTGAAGGAGAATCAGCCACTTCAGGCTTTAGAGAAACCCTTCATGGCCAACGTCAAGCCCAAACATAGTCTCACTGCGTCAGTGGCTAACTCCGCCGCCAGCTCCTCGTCAGCCGTGGCCAAGCAGACGTTCCAGCTGTCCCACCCAGAGGCCCTCTCCACCAACATGGACGAGACATACAGCACCCTGGCTCAACATGTCAACGACTACTTCGGGAGTAGTAGTAGTCTATCAACAGGAGACGACAAGAAGCCTCACCATCTAAATGACAATGCTCAAGCATCCACGTCCTCCAAGCCTGCTCTCAATCAACGCTATCAGAGTACTAAGAGCGGGGACCACATCCCCGTTTCAGTACCTGTGGCAGCTGAGACCGAGGTTATCCAGGGCGAGACTGCTACCCCACGACCGACTCCTCCCCTGGACGAGGTTAGCCCAACCTCAGGTGTTCCCACCCGAGAAAGCCCTGCCTCAGACAGCACTTCCTTTGACCCAGCCACCACTACCCCCACCCTAACACCCTCTAAAAAAGGGGGGTTTGGGCAGTACCTGTCTGACCCTCGCCCCAATGTTCAGGCATTCTTTGGCAGCTACATAGCACCCTTGGTTCCTAGTAAGTTCAGGGCTGAACCCAAGAGCGTCACAGCAGCAGTTAAAGGGAAGACCACGGAGGAGGCTGTGAGGAAGCCTGGAGAGAAGACAGAGACTGAGGAGGAGAAGAAGAACGCTGAAGAGAGGGCCAAGAAACTGCTGCTGAGCCAGAGAGAGAAGGTACTGAACTGAAACTGATTCATATAAATGAACGATTCTCTGCCATGTGAATGTGAATGAATTAAAATGAATTTGAATAAATGCTCTGTTACGTGTTTTATAGACATTCTTAGGTCATACCTCTAATTACATAGTTAGTGATAATTAATGATTTTTTTGTATTAAAAAAAGTGCTCTGTTTTATATAATACTTCCCTCTCAGTTTGAAGTGTCTTACCCTCTCAGTTTGAAGTGTCTTACCCTCTCAGTTTGAAGTGTCTTACCCTCTCAGTTTGAAGTGTCTTACCCTCTCAGTTTGAAGTGTCTTACCCTCTCAGTTTGAAGTTAATGTTCAATGATCTGGGACAGAGGGAAAAACATTACACACAAACAATTACTGTTAAGTCTAATTTGGGTACTGGATGTGTTCTGTGCACTCCCATCCCAGATCATAGCCCGGGTGAGTATGGACAACAGGACCAGAGCCCTGGTGCAGGGCATCCAGAAAGCCACAGATGTGAATATCCACACCAGCCGTGTGGAGGAGCTCCGCATGCATCTACTGGAGTACCCTGAGACACGCGGCGTGGCCGTCAAGGTGGGGGTGGCGGTGTGTGTAGACAATGTCAACTTGAATCCTTGTAGATATACTGTGGGTATATTTACATTCATGTTTTAGTCATGTAGCGGAAGCTCTCATAGACCAACTTACAATCAGTGCATTCAACTAAGGTAGGTAAATGTAGAAGTGTGTGAGTTTGCTGAAGTTAACCCCCCCCCCCACCTCCCTCTCCAGGAGAGGGTGATCCCGTGCCTGTTGCGTCTGAGGCAGACCAGAGACCCCAGGCTCCAGGCTGCAGTGAGAGAAGCCCTGGCCCTGGTGGGATACACAGACCCTGTGAAGGGCCGGGGTATACGGATCCTGGCCATCGATGGAGGGGGGACCAGGGGACTGGTGGCCCTGCTGGCCCTACATAAACTGCAGACCCTGACGGGCAAACCCATCTACCAGCTGTTTGACTATATCTGTGGGGTCAGCACAGGTAGGCTGTTTCACCATGCTCCCTGTATTTTATACAACATGATATCGGTCCAAACTACTAGGGCTGGCTTCCCAGACTCAGATTAGGCCTAGTCCTGAGAACATTCTCAATTGAGCATTCTTTTTAGGCCAAGACTAGGCTTAATTTATATCTGAGAAACCAGTTCCTTATGTTTAATGAAAGACACTATACAGTCCAGTCTTAAAATCAAATCCTGATCCTAAATCCCAAATCCTGTTTAGTACATGTGGTATGTGGCATCCTAACATGATGAACCCCTGTCCCGCAGGTGCCATCCTGGCCTTCATGTTGGGGGTGTTCCAGATTCCTCTGGATGATTGTGAGGAACTCTACAGGAAGCTGGGTTCTGACGTGTTCAAACAGAACGTAATCGTGGGAACCGTCAAGATGGGCTGGAGCCATGCCTTCTACGACAGCCAGATCTGGGAGAACATCCTCAAGTTTGTACAGTACCCTGCTGCTCCGTCTAGTATTCTCTCATGTCAGTGGTGGAAAAGATCTGACAGTGTAGTCTGACCTATGGGATTTAAAGGGATGTTGGAAGATTATTTTGTAGTAATTGAAAATCATGTTCTTATTTTGGAGCATGTAAGGAGCAATATTGTTTTGCCTAATTTAATAATGATAATGAAGTGGTGAATGTTTTGTGTGTAACAGAGAGAGAATGGGAGAAGGCCTCATGGTCGAGACAGCCCGGGATCCAAAATGCCCGAAGGTAAGATTTGATCTATACATCACTTTAACAACCATACGTTTACACAGTGAACAAAGACTTAATCAACTCCATATAGACGGGTTGGCTGACAACGTCACCAAAATGATGCGTGCACATCGATAAGGCCGGAAGTGCGTTGTTATGATTCTGGACGGTCAGATAGCTAGCAACAATCTCGTTGTGTCTTGTTATTGATACCATGTCTTGTTTTGAGGTGTTTTGACTGATGTCATGTCAATGCTAATATGGCTAAAATTCGCTAGCTAGCTAACCAACAACTGTAACGATGCATTTAAGAGACAACAAGTGCTCATTGTGCAAATGTATTTATGTTTTCAATAAACATTGGAGACTAAATCTAGTTTACATGTTGTCAACATGCTAAACAACCAACCCGTCTATGCGCTCATGAACACGGCTTAATGCCTCTGTTTCTCCTCTAGGTGTCAGCAGTGAGCACCATAGTGAACAGGGGTCTACCTCTGAAGGCCTATGTGTTCAGGAACTACAGCATGCTACCAGGGGTCAGGTCCCACTACATAGGAGACTGTAAACACAAGATGTGGCAGGCCATCAGAGCCTCCTCCGCCGCCCCAGGGTACTTCCAGGAGTATACACTGGGAAAAGACCTGCACCAGGTAACCAATTGATCTATCTTTATATGTGTAGCTTTACCACTCTCTTTCTCTCTTTCTATCTACCTCAACCTCTCTCTCTTTCTCTCTGTTTATCTACCTCAACCTCTCTCTTTCTCTCTGTTTATCTACCTCAACCTCTCTCTCTTTCTCTCTGTGTATCTACCTCAACCTCTCTCTCTTTCTCTCTGTGTATCTACCTCTCTCTCTTTCTCTCTGTGTATCTACCTCAACCTCTCTCTCTTTCTCTCTGTTTATCTACCTCAACCTCTCTCTTTCTCTGTTTATCAACCTCAACCTCTCTCTCTTTCTCTCTGTTTATCTACCTCAACCTCTCTCTCTTTCTCTCTGTTTATCTACCTCAACCTCTCTCTTTCTTTCTTTCTATCTACCTCAACCTCTCTCTCTTTCTCTCTATCTACACTACCATTCAAAAGTTTGGGGTCACTTAGAAACTTCCTTGTTTTCGAAAGAAAAGCAATTTTTTTGTCCATTAAAATAACATAAAATTGATCAGAAATACAGTGTAGACATTGTTAATGTTGTAAATGGCTATTGTAGCTGGAAATGGCTGACTTTTAATGGAATATCTACATAGGCGTACAGAGGCCCATTATCAGCAACCATCAGTCCTGTGTTCCAATGGCACGTTGTGTTTGGTAATCCAAGTTTATAATTTTAAAAGGCTAATTGATCATTAGAAAACCCTTTTGCAATTGTTTTAGCACAGCTGAAAACTGTTGTGCTGATTAAAGAAGCAATAAAACTGGCTTTCTTGAGACTAGTTGAGTATATGGAGCATCAGCAATTGTGGGTTCGATTACAGGCTCAAAATGGCCAGAAACAAATAACTTTCTTCTGAAACTCGTAAGTCTAGTCTTGTTCTTAGAAATTAAGGCTATTCCATGCGAGAAATTGCCAAGAAACTGAAGATCTCGTACAATGCTGTGTACTACTCCCTTCACAGAACAGCGCAAACTGTCTCTAACCAGAATAGAAAGAGGAGTGGGAGGCCCCGGTGCACAACTGAGCAAGAGGACAAATACATTAGACTGTCTAGTTTGAGAAACAGACGCCTCACAGGTCCTCAACTGGCAGCTTCCTTAAATAGTACCCGCAAAACACCAGTCTCAACGTCAACAGTGAAGAGGCGACTCCAGGATGACCTTCTAGGCAGAGTTGCAAAGAAAAAGCCATATCTCAGACTGGCCAATAAAAAGAAAAGATTAAGACGGGCAAAAGAACACAGACACTGGACAGAGGAAGATTTGAAAAAGGTGTTATGGACAGACGAATTGAAGTTTGAGGTGTTCGGATCACAAAGAAGAACATTTGTGAGATGCAGACCAAATTAAAAGATGCTGGAGGAGTGCTTGATGCCATCTGTCAAGCATGGTGGAGGCAATGTGATGGTCTGGGGGTGCTTTGGTGGTGGTAAAGTGGGAGATTTGTACAGGGTAAAAGGGATCTTGAAGAAGGAAGGCTATCACTCCATTTTGCAACACCATGCCATACCCTGTGGACGGCGATTGATTGGAGCCAATTTCCTCCTACAACAGGACAATGACCCAAAGCACAGCTCCAAAATATGCAATAACTATTTAGGGAAGAAGCAGTCAGCTGGTATTCTGTCTATAATGGAGTGGCCAGCACAGTCACCGGATCTCAACCCTATTGAGCTGTTGTGGGAGCAGCTTGACCGTAAGAAGTGCCCATCAAGCCAATCCAACTTGTGGGAGGTACTTCAGGAAGCATAGGGTGAAATCTCTTCAGATTACCTCAACAAATTGACAACTAGAATGCCAAAGGTCTGCAAGGCTGTAATTGCTGCAAATGGAGGATTCTTTGACGAAAGCAAAGTTTGAAGGACACAATTATTATTTCAATAAAAAATCATTATTTCGAACTTTGTCAATGACTACTATTCATTTTGCTATATTTCCTATTCAAACTCATTTCATGTATGTTTTCATGGAAAACAAGGACATTTGTGGCCCCAAACTTTTGAACGGTAGTGTACCTCAACCTCTCTCTCTTTCTCTCTGTTTTCTTTATCTACCTCAACCTCTCTCTCTTTCTATCTACCTCAACCTCTCTCTCTTTGTCTCTCTGTCTCTATGATCTCTCTCTTTGTCTCTCTGTCTCTATGATCTCTCTCTTTGTCTCTCTGTCTCTATGATCTCTCTCTTTGTCTCTCTGTCTCTATGATCTCTCTCTTTGTCTCCCTGTCTCTATGATCTCTCTCTGACTGTCACTCGTTTACCTGCAACCTCTCACAAATCAATACACATTCAGAACACTTCCTGATAGGCCTCTCCTAGGCCAGAGGCCATTAACTGGAGGGTCATAGTGTGTGCTTCTGTGTGCTTGGCTGTGTGAGAGCAAATGTAGAGCGCCCCCCCCCCCCCCCCCACCCTCGCGCAATTAAATTACATTTTAATTTAAGGGCTTTATTGACATGGGAAACATATTTTAACGTTGCCAAAGCAAGTGAAATAGATAATAAACAAAAGTGAAATAAACAATAAATATTAACAGTAAACATTACACTCAGAAGTTCCAAAAGAATAAAGACATTTCAAATGTCATATTATGTCTATATACAGTGTTGTAACAATGTGCAAATAGTTAAAGTACAAATGGGAAAATAAATAAACATAAATATGGGTTGTATTTACAATGGTGTTTGTTCTTCACTGGTTGCCCTTTTCTTGTGGCAACAGGTCACAAATCTTGCTGCTGTGATGGCACACTGTGGTATTTCACCCAATATATATGGGAGTTTATCAAAATTGGGTTTGTTTTCGAATTCTTTGTGGATCTGTGTAATCTGAGGGAAATATGTGTCTCTAATATGGTCATACATTTGGCAGGAGGTTAGGAAGTGCAGCTCAGTTTCCACCTCATTTTGTGGACAGTGTGCACATAGCCTGTCTTCTCTTGAGAGCCAGGTCTGCCTACGGCGGCCTCTCTCAATAGCAAGGCTATTCTCACTGAGTCTGTACATAGTCAAAGCTTTCCTTAAGTTTGGGTCAGTCACAGTGGTCAGGTATTTAGGGCCAAATAGCATTCTAGTTTGCTCTGTTTTTTTCTTAATTCTTTCCAATGTGTCAAACACACACATCAAAGACTGAGCCCCCCTGTGATGGAGAAGGGTTCCTGTAGGTACTGCTGTTTGTAGGGGAACCGGAGGAGACTCTGACTGTTAATGAAAGAGAATATCAACACATAGGTACTGCTGTTTGTAGGGGAACCGGAGGAGACTCTGACTGTTAATGAAAGAGAATATCAACACATAGAGCCAAATTATGCTCCACTAACCTATTAGTTTGTCAGACTATTTTCTAGGTTAACAGAATGGTATTTGACCTGTTGTAATTTGGATGCCACTCCGTTGACCTGCTTTAGTTTTGTTTGGTTGTAGACTGTACACCTGCGTCATAGAGCGAAGGCTATTTCCTGTATCTTAGTTTGTTTCAGGAAGAAGGAAATCAGAGCTAAATGCAAAGCAAGCTCTCTTCTCAGAGCCTTAGAATATTCACTGGTTGCCATGGAGATTTCTATCTACCCGACCAAGTGGGTTTGGGCCTCCCTCCATCCCTCCATCTGGGCAGAGCCCTCAGACAAGCCGTTCTTTAACCTTTACCCAGAGTCTGAAAGGAGAGGTAGCTGCCTGCCTGGCCTACAGTCCCTTTGATCACCCATTCACAATGGAGCGCAGTGCCCTGCCACACACTCCAGTGATTTATTGATATTTAAACACACAGCGCACGCACACGCCACTGGAGAGAGAATGGATGATTTGGTGACATGCTTTATTTACTGTGTGCCACTGTGCGTTGGCCCTGTTTCCCTCTTTTCAACAGCTTCACAACAGACCAAAGAGGAAAGTGTAGACTAGAGATGTATTTAAAGTCTACAGATCTTGACTCGCCTCTTGAGAGAGCTGTGTTGTGTTTGGAGTTTTCTTTACTGTTCAATGGACAGATTTGGTCGTTTTTTAATGTGCCAGCAATCATTTGAATCCTTAGTTTGTCATGAGACTTGGCTGTTGTCTTGGATGAACCTCTTTTCGATGATTGAACTTCCTGCTTCATCATTTTGATAAGGCTAAGTCCATTTCATGACACAGTGCTTTTATTATCCATAGATTTCCCTTTAGCTCTCTGTCCCTTCTCTGACAATGCTACACACCCAGTGGGTAGGCCTATTTGATATGCTATTACATAGTCAATAGACTCTTATCACTAATCCCATTATGTTCTGTTTAATATATTTAGTGTGTGTGGATTAAAATGCAAGGAGCAGCTGTAGCTCTTGGCTGAGAAACCGGTTGACAGCTGAACTCCCTCTGCTCTCAGTCAGTCCGGACGGAGACACGCCCGCCCGCCCACCAGCCCGCCCATACAAAAATCAGTGTTTTAAAGGGGAATGGAAACACTAGGCTTCAGAACACCGGCTAACTGTAACTGTAAATCCCCGTTAGGAAATGTACTCAGACCATGACCTTTGCGTGCATTAATGAGGAACATTTGCTGGTGTCAAACCATATATGAAAACATGATACATATTTTGAAAGCTGAGAAACAGCCCTTTCAAATGATATGACATACAATGGCACCACAGCCATCGAATGGTAATCAGTTCAAGAAAAAACACCTGTGAAAATGTGTATCTTAGACGAAAATCAACGTTCTTTCCCCAAACAACTGCCATTTACACAACTTCCTAATGAAGATGGAGAAATATTTAAGGCGTATTGAGTGTTCCTTTAAGGATTGATCATCTGAAATCAGAATAGTGATACCTTTTACTGTGAATGAGTTAGACGTTTTAGGGACCAGTGGTATTTTTATAGGATTCTATGGAATGTTCTGTGATCAGACATTTTCTTATCTGGATAGTATATTACATTTTTTTACATTTTAGTCATTTAGCAGACGCTCTTATCCAGAGCGACT